AGGAAGTAAGTGAGGCTGGATGAATGGATGGATGGAAGGAAGGAAGGAAGGAACGGGATGAGGAAGAAAGGAAGTGAGGATGGATGGATGGATGGAAGGAACAGAGGGATTTAACAGATAACCAGAGTTGGAAGGGACCTTGTAGGTCATCTCGTCCAACCCCCTGCCCAAACAAGAAGGGAGGGAGAAGAGGGAGGGAGGGTGGATGAATGGATGGAAGGAAGGAATGGAGGGACGGAGGGTGGATGGAAGGGAGGAAGGAAGGAAGGAAGATGGTACTGTACAGTGAAAGATATGACAGTTTCACCCTCTTTTGGTCTTTTAATAAAAACATTCAACCTCAGAAAAAAATCAGCAAATTTATCTTCTCTTTTGAAAGGAAAGCCAGTTCTTATTTATCAAATTAGAGCTAGCATTCTCTCTGGGCTCCCTGCAGATCCCCTCAAGGACCTGAATAAAAAGCTAGGAATGCAAACAAGAGTTCACACAACCAAGCAGAAATATGAGAAAGAAGAAAACACTCTTCTGTTTCTCCTTGGACTGTTTCCCCCCTCATTAGATAATTTGCAGAGTTGAATTGCTTCTAAATAGTTCCACTGATCCTGGTCCTGTTAGCGTATCCGAGAAGATACTGAACAAAGGTCCACATTTAAAAAAAATAAAATAAAAATGAAAAGGAAGCAGCTTGGCAAATATTTCCAGCTTCACAATGAGTGTGGGAGGAATTCTTGCCTCAAGCAGCACTAAAAGCAGATCCTTGTTCATCTCAGCTGCCCCGGAGTGAACATCAAAGCTGGGCTCCAAATATCTGCATTAAGATAGGAAGGCCATGGCACGACCTCCGCTTGGAGAGCTTATGAAAGTGTCCTTCAGCAATTTTCCTCCATTAAACTCTAGGGAAAGGATGACCCTCAGAGGTCTGTCGAATCAGAACTCCGGAGGAACACAAAATAGGTTTCCAGTCAAGCTATTTATTTCCTTTTTTTAAAAAAAGAGAGAAATTAGAAAGTGGCCATTAGAGCATTACACATGAATAAATAAGCATGCCCTGACAGTTGAGGTGTCCTGACTCCGAAAGAAAATGATCTAGTTCATAGAACAGAGGAGGAAAAAGGAAGAAGAATCCTAAGGCTCAGAGAAGAATTGCTAAACAATTAACAATTATGTGGTCAAAGCTTCTCCAAGGTTAACGTCAGAGGTGGGTATACAGCAGGTCCTGACCAGTTCTGGAGAACCAGTAGTGGAAATTTTGAGTAGTTTAGAGAAGCGGCAAATCCCACCTCTGACTGGCCCCGCCCCCATCGCTTCTCCACCTCCCGAATCCCAGCTGATTGGCTGGGTCTTCTTTGGTTGCCCTGCACAGGAGAAAGGAGCTGGAAAGCAGGTTAGTGTTCTGACCCAAACCCTTTTCCAATAAGACAAACAATAACCAAAGGGAACAGAAACCTTTTAATGAGTCTTACGAATCCCTGGTTAAAAGGCTGCTGCAAACTAATTAACTTTGATAAGCACAAAACTGTACGAGACTGTCAAGAATCACAGATAAGAAATATTTCACAACACAAGAGTCTTCAAATACCAACTTAAGATATTGTAATGTTCACAAGGCTGAGTTTCAAAACGTCTTTGCTTCCTGCAAAGAACATTCGCTTCACAGATGCTTTTTATCTTCTTGAAGGAGGGGCCATTGCAGCCTTACTCCCAAGTCGCCCATGCTGTTGCAGCTGCTCTTTCCTGCGAGCAATCCTGTGCGCACGCACACTTGGCACAGGCTCCTCGGGAACCTCCTCATCGCTGCTGCCAGCCACCACAATCTCTGAAGGCAGCAGTCCACTCCCTAATGGTCCTGGCCCCTCATCTGAGTCCTCACTGTCCTCAGCCGTACTCTTCTGCTGCCGGCTAACCACAACAGTAACCTTCCCCCAGGAGTGAAGAGGGAATGGGGATTTTGCAGTAACCTTCCCCTGCCACGCCCACCAAGCCACACCACGCCTACCAAGCCACACCCACAGAACCAGTAGTAAAATTGTTTGAATGCCACCCCTGGTTAACGTTCAAAGCTGGAAGAACTACTTGAGCCTCCAGAGTCAGGCAGAAGAAGGAACTGCTTCAGAATTCAGTATGTCCAAGTGGATATTTCTGGGAATCTCAGAATGAAGAACAATATTTTTCTCAGTTACTCAAGCCACATTGGATTAGGTCTTTGTGCACCCACCTAGAAAATAGGATTCATTCAGTAGCTAACTAGTTACTTAGGGCCGGATTATAAGACCTCAGAAGGTCCTGTCCAACTCTGTTATGTGTGCTGTGTGAACAAAATCAGAGAGGTAGAAGATGAAAGTTGTTGGTCCAGAGTCACCTAGAGACAAAGCACGATAGAATAATAGGGTTGGAAGGGACCTTGGAGGTCTTCTAGTCCATCCCACTGCTTGAGCAGGAGATTCCATACCATCTCAGACCAAAAATGACACCTTCCAAGGTTCAGAATAGATCATGAATCTGAATTGTCTTTGGTTCTAGAACGATATCTTAAGCTTCATACATCATATTGGCCATCTATTCTTGGACTTTCTGTTCTGATGTGTTCCTTTCGCTCACTTCAAACCCATTTGAGAGCAGACTGACCACCAACCGTTCTAGCTACTCTCTCCATAAATAAATGTTAAATCTGTTGAAACACCGCCCTGGATTTTACTTAACGCCTTCTCTTCATTTTCTTCCCCTTTATATTTTGGTACGCTTTTTCTAAAATATTAATTTATCAGCCTTTCTTTCTAAAGATGCCGCCTCGGCAGCCTTTGCTCGAGGAAGATATAACTACCAAAATTCTAAAGCGATACATTTCCCACCGTCCTATTTCTGCTGTATCCGTTCTTTTTTTTCTCTCCCCTTCTTCTCCCTTTTGTGTCTTTTATAGTCTCTGCCTCAATGAACTGCAGATTTTATTATTTATCAGGACTTCCGGGGGGATGGGGGAATGACGCACTGAAGACAGCTCCGCTAAAAGCAGAATGAAATGCTGGGAACAATAAAGAACTGGAGAACCTACTGGGCTCTTTGTAATTCCTCTCCAAACAAGGAAAGGACTTGAGATTGCCCACAAGTGCTCCAGGCAATCACTTCTTGTGAGGAGATTGCAAGAAAGCCCAGAGCTCTGGGAGACGAAGTAATAGCCATCTTGTTCAAATCGTGGCTGATGGCCCTTGTTTCACAGGCATCTTTTTCTAACCTAGCATTGATGATGTTGCCTAGTTTGGTAAATGAAATGTCTGCAAGAAAACAACCCAGCTCAGAGAGCACCAAGGACCCCACAGTCTTCTTTCTCCCCCTCCTCCTCCGCCTCTTTGCAAACCCCACTCCCTTCTACCACTGATGAAGTTACCTAGTTGGGTAATGAAACGTTTGTAAGCAAGTAAACTCAGAGGACTCACAGCCCTCTTCATCTTCCTCCTCCTCCTCTCCGCAAACCCCATTCCCACTGATGAAATTATCTACTCAGGTACTGAAATGTTTATAGGCAAGCAACGAAACTCAGAAAACACCAAGGACTCATAGTTCTCCTCCTCTTCTCCTCTCCTCCTCTTCCTCCCTGTAAACTCCACTTTCTCCTAGCACTTCCTTCTAGCAACTTCTACCCAGTTTGGTAATGAAGCATTTGCAAGGAAACACCAACCTCAGAGAACACCAAGGACCCCGCAAATATCCTTGTCCAGAAATCCTTTGCTAACTATTTTTCAGCTATTAAAAAACCTTTTTACTGATAGGTTTTGGACAGCACTTGGTGAGTTTCCTTCAATCGCTAGTGAAAGAAGTTTTGCATATAAACTTAAGGACTTTTTAAAAAATGGAATAAACAGCCAAAGAGTGATTAGAATGTGGATTTTGGAAAATTACAAATGAATTTAGGGGTCCAAATGGATTGGCAAGAAGCTTTTGAAATTAATTATGAGAATCCTTTCTGTAGGAAATTCTTGAGTTTTTTTTAAAAAAATATACAAAGACATAGGATGAAACTTTGAAAATTGGACACCAGAGAAAACCAAAAGGAATGGAAGATTACACCTGTACGATGTCTACCAGGTATATTTTACTAGAAGACTCAAACTCCCCACCCAGTAAAGGATGTCCATTATGGGATGCTTATTCAAATACATAAAGAAATATAACGGTTGTGTTTAAACTGGATGAAGCACAGCTTTCAGGAGAGAAAAAGTGAGATAAAAGCTAAGATTCAGACTGAGAACTACACAAGGGCTACAAAAAAGACAGTTGCGATTGTGATTATTTTTATGAGAAAGAAAGAGGAGGAGGAGAAGGAGAAGGAGAAGGAGAAGAGGAGGAGGAGGAAGAAGAAGAAAAATACTGTGCCAGAAAAAGCAGCCGGAGTTCTAATGCTAACATTGGATCAGTCTTTCATTCCTGAGATATTTGTAGAAGCATCCATAATTTCACATCAAATATTTATTCCTACATTTATTAAATTCTGAATAATTCAGCACTTGCTGCATGTCACAGAGAGGCTCGGTTAAGTGTTCTCAACTGAGTGTATCTGGATCTGCAGCACGTGCCTTCTAAAATTGGGATGTTCTTGAGAAGGTGAGGTTTTTCCATCATTTGGGTAATGTTTTTGGAAGAAACTATGTCTTCACTAATGACAATTTGTCTCTTTGATTTATCTTGCCTAGTTTTCTGTTAGTTTTCTGTTAGGGAAACTCCCACTTATGGGGATGATGGAATGAACAAAGTTGAAAAATCTAAATTATTTCCTGAGATTCCTGAACCTTCCACCCATTTCCAGAGGAGCTAAAGTTGAGTTCTGGTTGAGTGAACATTAGCATGAATGTGAAAGAACACACACAAAAAAGCTTAGCAAATAAATCTGGTTTGTTTTTCATGTAGCGAGAGACACTTATAGTTGAAGTGGCACGTTCAGCATCGAGCTGACCTACCACGGAGCTCAGATCTTTCCAATACCAAGAGTTGAGAAAGGACCTTCTTACCTGACGTCTGCTGGATCTTCAGTCACAAGGACATCGGTCTTGCAGCTAGCCAATGGGTTGATGGAAAGCTCCACCGGAGGAACCACAAAACTTTTACTCACGGGAAGCCAAAGACCTTGGCCCAGGCTGTAGGTAGACCTTCAAAAAAGAAGACACATGAGAGCAGAAGACAAAGAACAATGCCAGTTTTAGAACTTTGGACTTTCTGGTTCCAAGACTCAGCACAGAAATCTCAAAATGTGAAGTTGTGGTGATTGCCTTTCTCTGGAAACTATCATGCGGCAAAGATGAGATTCCATCAAAGGTGAGGGCTTTGAAATATTGTCTACTTTTTTTTGGTTTTTTGGTCAATGGCGGCCAAATTAAGGAAGCAATTCTAATGAATCTCACTTTAACAGCTTAAATATTTAGACTGTGCTGAAAAGTATGGACCAACAGCATCACTTGTGGTTCCATCAAAGGTAAGGTTTTGAAATATTGTCTAATTTTTTTGTTTGATGAACAGAAGTGAATGAACAGAAGTGGTGGAACACTGTGTATTTATGTGTCGGAAATGGTTGCTTTTCTCTGCACTCTTTGGTCGCCATGATGTAAAAAAGATGTTGAGACTCTAGAAAGAGTACAGAGAAGAGCAACAAAGAGGATTAGGGGAGGCTAAAACATATGATGAACGGTTACAGGAACTGGGTATGTCTAGTCCAATGAAAAGAAGGACCAGACGAGACATGATAGCTGTCTTCTAGTATCTCAGGGGCTGCCCCAAAGAAGAGGGAGTCAAGCTATTCTCCAAAGCACCTGAAGGCAGGACAAGAAGCAATGGCTGGAAAATGAACAAGGAGAGAAGCAACTTGGAACTAAGGAGAAATTTACGGACAGTTACAACAACTAACCAGTGGAATAGCTTTCCTTCAGAAGTTGTAAATGATCCAACTGGACACTGGAATTTTTTAAAAAGATGTTGGATAACCATTTCTCTGAAGTGGTCTAAGGTTTCCTGTCTAGGTAGGTGGTTGGACCAAAAGACCTCCAAAGTCCCTTCCAACTCTGTTATCCTCTTCTCTTCTCTTCTCTTCTCTTCTCTTCTCTTCTCTTCTCTTCTCTTCTCTTCTCTTCTCTTCTCTCTCCTCTTCTATTCTATTCTATTTCGCTTCACAAGAGAAATTTTAGGCTCAGTTGTGGTCATGTCAAGGGCTAGATGGAACCAAAGCTCAGAACCACAGAATAACAACTTCAGCAAACGTCTGCAGGAAAACCTCCAAGCTCAGGGAGCACCAAGGATGCCACAGTGACCCCCTGAAATTGAACTGCCCACCCAAACCAAGAAAGGACACATCGAGGGCAAAACTTCAACCAAACCGATTGCATGACTCACCTAAGAATTTTCTCCGGAGCTTGTTCTCCCGTCACCAAATCATAACCTCTTTCCAAAGTTGTGTATGGCCAAGGGCTGGTGAAAACCAAGCAAGAATAGCCATGATAGGGGTTGGAATTTAAAAAACAAGACCCAGCCAGAAGCAAATCCATTTCCTTTTTAATAACAACATTACTCAACACCACATCATTTTCTCATCTTCGGCCCAAACAGCTTATTATCCTGCCTTTTTCTTTTTTCCTGCAATTATGCTATTTATTTATGGCATTCTAATGCATTGGCAGCTTATCTATATTTAATTATATTTATTGTCCTGCTCCAGCCTTGTGGCTCTTGCTGATTGATTGATATATTAAGATGGCATTGAAATAACGATTTCCGGGCTCTCTTTTCTCCCCCTGCTTAAGTCAGGCGTGCTTGCCGCTGTTTAACTTTTAATGGTTTCTCGAGACTTCGGAATTGACGTTATGCAGAGCATCGGGCTGTGTAAATCAGAGCGATGGTTGATGGCATTCAAATAGGTCCTTTACTGACTAGCTGGAGTGGCATAGTGTTGAAACTAAGATTCCTGGCTTGCAAACTTCGCCCGCAAGCTTTGAGCCAGAGCCCCCACATAATTCCTTCATTCCAGAAGCCAATCTTTAATACATACACATTTAATGCATTATTTATACAGAAATCTCCATCCACATAGGAGATTTCAAGGGAGATAAACCTAGGAAAGCGATGTGGTATACTCACATCCTTGGAACAGGACCCAAAGGTGAGGTAAAGATAAATATTCCCCTTGCACATACTCTAGGGGGCGGTGCTCATCTCCGTTACAAAGCCAAAGAGCCAAGCGCTGTCCGAAGACGCCTCCGTGGTCATGTGGCTGGCATGATTAAATGCCAAAGGCGCACAGAATGTTGTTTCCTCCCCACCAAAATGATCCCTATTTTTCTACCTGCATTTTTTAAGTGCTTTCAAACTGCTAGGTTGGCAGAAGCTGGGACAAGTAACAGGAGCTCACTCCGTTACGCAGCGCTAGGGATTTGAACTGCTGACCTTTCTGATAGACAAGCTCAGTATCTTAGTCCACTGAGCCACCACGCCCCCCTATTACTTTATAACTCAATAAAAATGTCAACAGGGAAAAAAAATGTTATGTAAGCAAACAATCCCTCTCGGGCAGACAGAATTTGGGGAGCAGGTTATGAATTCTTGCAGATGACAAGGGCTGGATTTTCTGGTTAGCAATTCCCAAAAGTCTGGTCCCCTTGCACAAAGATGCTTATTTTTTTTAGCTATCTTTCCTTCCTTGCCAATTTTCCCTGGAGGTTTTCACCCTGCCCCCCTGCCATAGAAGACTCACCCTTCACTGTGTTCCCAGGTGTTACGGATACAAAGGTGTCGATGAACAGGATCTGGGGCATATCCTTCGTGGCAGCTGCACTCACCTGGAAACAGAGCAAACCTCAAAATGTTCAACTCCTCCCTGCATTTTTGGTCCACAAGTTGTACAGGTAATCCTGGAGGTCCAACGGCCACTGAGCCCCCAGTTTTTGTTGTTAATTTGCACACAGATAGCCCTCAACTTCCAACATTTTGTTTAGTGGCCATTCAAAGTGTTGTGGCCTTTTGAAAAAGTACCTGCATATTTAAAAGCAAATCTATGGGTGAAAGCACACCATCCCTGTTTTTATTAAGAAAAAGAAACAGAAATAGATGACCCCTGCCACTCATAAAAAATGCAGTCAGAAGCCATTTAACCAGTGGTGGGATTCAAATTCTTTTTTACTACCGGTTCTGTGGGCGTGGCTTGGTGGGCGTGGCATGGCTTGATGGGTGTGATGAATGTGGTCCGCTACTGGTTCTCCAGAACTGGTCAGAACCTGCTGAATATCACCTCTGCATCTAACCGTTGCCTTCCTCATTCCTCATTCCCTCTTTTCTGAGAACTTGGTCAGCTGCTTTTCAGATTGATCCTTTGCTTTGTAAAAAAAATACATATCCCCAAGCAAGCCGTGTGAGGGGGGAAAAAGAGAGAGAGAGAGAAATAATAAAAGATTAATTGGATTTGTTCATCCAGGAACCTTTGAAAGCCCATGTTGATTTTTCTTCCCGTTTTTCTTCCGGCAGACACCTTTCACTGTCAAAAGGAGAGTTGTAAGCACAGCTGTTTATTGTAAGCTGTGTTTGTCTTTTCGACAAAAGCTGTATATTGTAAGCTGTGTTTGTCTGTGCATTTGATAGCTCCTCCCTTAGGTTAATGCAGTTTCCTCTGCCCCAAATATATCTGGGATAGAAATGGGTTTGTTTTGTTTTGTTTTTGTCTCTCTGTAGGTGTGTTTGTTTAACGTTGCTCCTTAATTTAACCCTTGCCAATAAATTGCTTTATTGACTCTTGAATATCGGGCTTCTTGGCTTTTGGCAATTCTCACACTTGATGCTCTGAAGACCTTCTACTCATTGTGGATGCTGAACTTAAAATCAAACGCAGGGTTCTCGGTCTGTCTAGGCATAGAAAATAGTCTCAATGCCCAATTCTCCATCAGCCCCAATTCATAGGAATGATAGTTGGGGGATACTGATTGTTGTAACTGAGCACGAGGGGTAGGCCATGGGCCCTCAACGAGAGATAGAGGGCATGTTCAACTCTGGAGACCTTGGTGCTTTCTGACCTAGGTGGTTTTCTTGCGGTGGTCTCATCACCCAACAAGGGAACCTCATCAGTGCTAGAAGGGAGTGGGGTTTGCAGAATGAAGGAGGAAGAGAAAGGAAAAAGGGAGGAGGAGGAGGAGGAGGAGGAGGAGATGGATGTCGACAGCAGCAAGACTACTGTATGCACAAAAATGGAAAGACACTTTGATTCCTACCATGGACGAATAGTTGCAGAAGTTGATGGAGTTTGGCTGAAATGGCAAAACTGACCACTTTGATTAAAAAAATACTATAAGTACTTTTGTTTCCACATGGAAACCACTTCTGAACTTCATGCTTGATGTGGAGAAGAACAACTCCTCCTCCTCCTCCTCCTCCTCCTCCTCCTCCTCCTCCTCCTCCTCTACCACCACCATCACCAAAACCAAACTCCCTTCAAGAACTGATGATGCTATCTAGTTGGTTCATAAAATGTCTGCAAGAAAACAACGAAGCTCAGAGAGAATTTAGGACCCCACGGTCCTCCTTCCCCTCCTCTTCCTTCCCCCTCTCCTCCCCATTCTCCTCCTCTCCTCAAATGATGTTACCCTGTTGGGTCATGAAATGTCTATAAGAAAATCACCAAGCTCAGGTAGCGCCAAGGACCGCAGCTCAACCCTGAGCTACAAATATTCCTTTCTATTGATATTCATCTCCATCTATTCACGTCCGCATATTAATAGGGTTTCCAGTTCTTTCAAACAAAAGGTCTGGAGCTGAAAGTTGGAAATAAACAACAGGCTGTAAATAAGGCCAGTGACAAAAGCTAAGCTAAAAATCAGGAAAAGATGGGAAATCAATGCATCTCACAAAAATGTGGAAAAAGGAAGGAACACATTTCATTTCTGCAGTGTGTACATGGAGGGATGTGAGTGCAAACTCTATCAATTACAGATGTGCATAGGGGAAAAAAATCAATGCTTCTCATTGTAGTGATATTCATCCAAAGAAATGAATACACCTATTTGTAGCAACCATCAAGAGAACTGTTCTGTTCTGTTCCGTTCCGTTCCGTTCCATTCCATTCTATTAATTCTAATTCTAATTCTCTTCTCTATTCTATTCTAATTCTCTCTTCTAATTCTCTATTCTATTTTTCTCTTCTCTTCTCTTCTCTCTTCTCTTCTCTCTTCTCTTCTAATTCTGTCTTCTATTCTGTTCAGTTGTGTTCTGTTTTGTTCGAGCCTATCCTATCGTATTCCAATTCTCTATTCTGTCTAATTCTCTATTCTATTCTATTCTATTTTATTTTTCTCTTCTCTTTTAATTCTCTCTTCTCTTCTAATTCTAATTCTCTATTCTACTCTATGCTATTCTGTGCTATTCTAGTTCTCTATTCTATTCTAATTCTCTATTCTATTTTTCTCTTCTCTTCTCTTCTCTCTTCTCTTCTCTTTTTTCTATTCCTCACTAACTCTCTCTCTCTCTCTGGCACATACACAAAGCAACTATGCAACATGTAGCCTCAGTAATTTCCGAGGTCTGTTTCACCCTGTTAAAAACAGATTGATGCAGCCGTGCATGTTAAATAACTCTTTATCAAAACTAACAAAGATTGCCACTTTTTTTTTTTAAAAAAAAATTGCATTGGCTCCACAGCGTAAATAAATAATTCACACAGCCTTCTTGTTAAGGTAGCCCTGATGTAGCGATCACCGGAATGAGAACATGGGGACTCCAGGCGGCTTGCAGCTTAGTTTAGTTGACTTTATTGTCATTGCACCTCATATAACGAAATTAAATGCCTTCTCCTGTGTACATTATGGCTAGAAAAATAAAACACAAACATTCTATACAGTTGAACTGAAAAGCCTGGATATGGCGTTAATATTGCACGCTACAGTAGAATTCAATATAGTTATGGCAATATTGCAGGAATATGAAAATATTCCTCAGATATAAAAACTATAAAACCAATAAAAGAGAATAGTCCTCTAATAAATTAATTCTATCATATTATAATCATATAATAAATGAATAAAATAATATAATAACCTCCCCTGCAACAACATATCAGACAAACCATTTAATGGGCTCCATCTCCCTCTGTGTATTGGGTTGGGTGGGTGGGAGAGATAACTCCCCCCCCCAAAAAAGGAAGGGAAAAAAAAAAA